CTTAGGTATGCAAGGAATGCAGTCAGAGACATTTTCAGCTTCTAGGCAATCAGCATGATAATGAATGATAATGAATTGAGCATGCCTTAAGCCCATGTGGGCTGATTCTACCCACCAATCAGAGGCTTGCTCTAATGGAATGTGTGATAAGCCGGCTTATCAGTCAGCAGTGGGTGTGTTGGCCCTGGTCAGCCCGAAGCAGGCCACCTCAGAAATGGGCCACTCCCATCAGTACCTGGTCGGCCCAGCCTGGATAGCATAGCTTGCTTACATATCTTGGTGGCCTGCCTTTTTTCAGGGTGTAACAAGACTGTTTTTCAGCTCTCTTTCTGAGGTGGTCTGCTTCTAGTGAGAAAAGCAATTTTTGATCTTTGTCTGCAGCGGTTTTAGTGCTTTTTGGTGCACTGCTGCTGATTAAGCGCCTGTGTAGTTAAAATAACATCCATGTAGCTGGGGGCAGAGTGAAATCTGACTGGGGCGACACAAAACTAGCCGGAGGAGGCCGCCATGCAAATTTGAATGCAGGAAAAACTCTGCAAGTGTGTCAAAACGGGTACAAAAGTTTTGTTTTCAAAATTAGAAAAATTAAAAGTCTAAAGGAACAAATATGATTTTGCAGTTCAAACAGCAGTGCTCAATATGTTCATTTATTTTTGAGAACATTACCTCATGTCCAGTTGAAACTGGTATTGTTTCATGAGTATTCATGTTGGTTTTCTCAATAAAAGGAAATTGAAACATTGACGTAATCGGTATCGGCAAGTCAGGTTTTTGGTGCACCCCTACTGTATGTCTAGCTAGGTCTGTAGAGGTCTGACGCAAGGAATAGAACATTTGTAGCTCATGTGTAGAATTGGTTGGTCCTAGAGGCTCTTGATAGTCAGACTCCAGCGTCAGCCTACTCCTTGTGAAGCTCCCACAAAATCTCGAATGGACTTATGTCAACAGTCCTCTCCAGGCTGTTCTCCCAGTTGTTGGCACGTATTTCTACCACTTTCACTCACCTTTCTATAAATCTGCTTGAATACAGCAGCTTCCTTAGCGATGACCTTTTCTGACATCCCCTCCTTGTGGAAGGTGGCCATGACTGTTGTCTGGTCAGCAGTTTTCACCATGATTGTGGATCCTACTGAGCCATATCTGAGACCATTTAAATGGTCGGGAAACATCTGCAGGTGCTCGAGTTAATTAGAGGATTAGGTTTGGACGCCACGAGTTTCCAAAATTTTAACCTTTTCCGGATTTTTTTTATACTGATTTTTTGGGTTTTTATTACCTGCATATGGAAGCGTATGTGTAACACAAATCCTTTTATTATGCAGTAGCAGAAATTATATTTCATTTTCATGTTACCACTGCCAAATTTGACTCATAAGTAAAATTAATAAGCAATCTTCCAAACAGCTTTTTAATTTTCCTCTTCATCATTGCTTATTCTGTGACTTAATGAACAGTATAAAGAAAAAAAACATTTAAGATTTAATTTTAAAATTACGCTCCAGCAAAAATGTAACAAAATGCAATTAGAAATGTCAAATTAGAAAATTAAACTGCATTAGCAGAAATGCTATTCACTACACAACTGCTTAGTGTGTCTCACAATTAAAATGAAAAAGCATTTCTCAAAACTGCTTTTTCATTTTCTTCTTCATCATGCTTATTCTGTGACTACATGAAAATGATAAAGAAAAAGGCATTTGAGAACTAATTTTCAAATAACACCAGGGTTTCCCTTACATAGGCGTAGCCGTGGCGGCCCGCCACGGCTGAAATCCCACCGCCACGCCTACAAGATCCCAAGTTTTTTTTTGCGCTGTTTCCCGAATAAGCAGCAGGAACTACTATGTTGTCGCTTGTGATCACAGCCGGCGGGCAGCAAGGAGCAGGCAGGGCAAGGTGAAGTTACAGCATAAGTTACTGAGTTTAATATTAGAAAGGTAGCAGTGGATATAATGCTTTGTGGTTTACATGTTTCAATAGCATTAAGATAAACGAGTGTTGACGATCTTGACAGGGTTTCTTCCAGTGCTTATTAGGCCAGGTTCTCCTCCCCCCACCAGGCTAATCATCACTTGCTCATGTAAAATTTATTTATTTTTTCATGTCTGACTTTAACTGCATCTAATACTGTATTACGGCGTGAGCGCAACAGCGACAACTTAGGATCGATGTGTGAGCAGCGTGAGAGGTCGGGTGTTTCATCTGAACCCTTAAAACCCCCAGCAGGCTACGTTGCACTATTGAAGAAGAAAAAGAAGAAAATATAATTTCTATAGCGCCTCTCAAGATAAAAATCACGAGGCGCTTATTGACGCGTTAGCGCGTGGCGCTAACAACTTAGCGATGTGACATGTCTCGGAGAAAGCGTAAAAACACGTTGGACGCTTCTTCTGAAGCGGGAAAATAACACTTCTTCTTAAGCATAGCACGACGTCGCCTCGGCTCGTTCACGGCCGAGCCGGTGTCGGTACAAGATCTGCTCGGGTGCAAAATCGGCTCGGGGTCCGTTGACTGCCGATGACGTCTAAGTAGTTGATTGGCTGAACATGAACCTTACGGAATTACGTAATCACGTTACGTTGTTATCACGTTACGTTGGTCCAGGCAAATCTTTCCGTTGGAAAGATGGACAACTTTTTCAAAGAAATCCATCATTACCTCTTTGAAAATACACTTTTAGCATAGAGCTGCATGTATATTAGGGCTGAACGATTAACTGCATGTGCAATTAAATTGCGATGTGACAAAAGGAGATTTTCTAATCGCAAAGGCTGCAATTTGGCAGCGAGTGGTTAGCGCAATGCTAATATACATGGAAAAACCCATAGGAATGCTAATGCTAATATCACCGATTACATTATTACAAATTATGAATTAGAAACGTGCCAAATGATTACATTTGGAGTCTAATAGAAAGTAAAACTACCATCAATCAAATAAGTACAGACAGGTATTTTAGTAAAGCCAGAACACTTTTAACTCCAGAGTATTGGCTAGCAGCTATGAGCGTAACTGAACTACGCATGGACAAGACGCCAAAAACTCTAAACACAAAATACTTCAATAAACAGGACACACTTCTTTCCTGCAAATACAATTTCACAGGTGTTGCTAATACCAATGATTTTTCAAGGGATTTGCTCAAAGAGGAGTTCAACATTATGAATACAATATAGTGTTTTATTTTACAAATACCATTATAAACACAAACTTACGTCGTAAGAAACATCATTTTAATAACAAAACTGCTAAATTCTTTCCAACAGTATAGATGTGTAGTGTATTTTGTCCGAGTGGGTTTGCCGTACTTTGACGTCATCGGCAGTCGAAGGACCCCGAGCCAATTTAGCACCCGAGCAGATCTTGTACCGACACCGGACTGAGCTTGATAACATTGACCCAGCACAGCCACTGGGTCGTTGGAGCTGCCCCGTGACTGCCTGATGGAAAACCAGCGGGTTTCATCAGACTCGTAAAGTTTTTTGTTTTTGCTGGGGACCCCCTGTATTTTACCGCTCCCTCCTGCAGTCTTGCCCTATTAACATTTAAAATGATTCTGTAAATTCCGTGTATCAATAGAAACAATCTCTGCCTCTGCCAGCTGCAGTAAATGTAGTCTCCAAATAATAAATAAGAGGTGCATTCATCTGTGTATCTCCTTTGGTCCGCATTAGTGATATTGTCAGCACCAGAACAGTGAAGCAAAGAAAGATTCCTGAGTTTGTTAGTAATTTTATTTATTAGGTACATCTAACCTGTTCTATTTTTCTCTGAAATGAGATCAAATCAGTGCTTCTATGGGTTTTCTCCAATCTGCACTGGAAATTTTTACTTTATTTATTAGAGACTTGTCATAATTTCTCAAAAAAGCCCCCCCCCCCCCCCTCGCCACAGCTGGAAAAATTCCTAGGGGAAACACTGAACACACCAACAAATGTGTAACAAAATTCTATTTGAAATGTCTAATCTGAAAATTAAAATCCATTAGCAGAAATGCATTTTCATTTTCACTTTACAACTGCTTAGTGTGACTCACAATTAAAATGATACAGCAATCCTCTGAACAGCTTTTTAATTTTTTTGACATTTCTAATTGAATTTTGTTACATTTTTGCTGGAGCGTTATTTGAAAATTAAATCTGAAATGTTTTGTTCTCAATACCTTTCATTAAGTTACAGAATAAGCAATGATGAAGAAGAAAATTAAAAAGCAGTTTGGAAGATTGCTTATTAATTTTTATGAGTCAAATTTGGCAGTTCTTAATATGAAAATGAAATATCATTTCTGCTACTGCTCAATAAAATTATTTATGTTACACATATGCTTCCATACATTTAGGCCATACTTATTAAAAATACAAAATATAGGCAAAGATGTGAATATTTCACTCTGTAATATATGAGTTTCTCCTTCTGAAATGAGTCACTAAAATAGTGAACTTTTTCAGTCTTCTTCTTTTTAGATGTACCTTTATGAAAATTCTTAGTTTTTTACCAGCTTCTAAAATTATTCAAATCTAACTTGTACATACATACAAACAAAGCTAAGCAAACAAAGTCGGTGGTAGAGTCATGTTGCTGTTAGCCAATCAGAGGAGAGATGTTCAGATATCAGGAAATAATGAGTTAGACTCCATATCCTGCAGTTTTCTGCTCATCTTTAGTCTGGCTAACCTCTAGTGGCTGAAACAGGAGCACAAGAGCATTTTTTCCACAGAGGTCGACTCACAAGACATTCATTATAATAAACAAGTGAACTTGGTCTTTAACGTCCCACCGCAGCATTTCAGTCCACATCACGGGACTGTGATGTGTTTGAGATAGTGAGTTGTTTATTGAATAATAAGCCCTGGCAGACCCCTCAGCTCAAATCCCTGCTGAACCCAGTAGAACAGTACTGTACCATGTCATGTACTGAAAACACAAAGTGACTTCACCACCCCCAATGTGTTTGGTTCTGACTGAGACATTCACTCCTCACTTGTTTTTGTCCTTTTTAGCTGGAGAGGATCAACCTATCGGCAGCTCAGACGCTCAGAGCAGCTTTCAAGAAGGTGAGCTGGAACTTACACTAATAACGTGACCTGCATGTTATCTTTTAGCATTGACTTCCACTTTTATGCAGAAAGAACGACAGTTTTGTATGTTTGACTCTGACTTGATGTATGTTAATTTCCCGTTTAGAAATGACAGCAGAACAACTTTGCATCACATATTCCTACAAAGAAAACAACTTGCACCAATCAAACCATGAAAAACTAAGCTTAACAATTTTATTTAGACATCATGTGTGCAGTATTAGAATGCTAGTAATGTTTTGATGTTTAAAAGAAATGACATTTCATTTCAATGTAAATTAGTTATTTATTATTATTACGATTTCCAGTATCGGCCTAAATTGTGAGTCCTAATTTCTTTTCTCCATTCATGTACTTATTCGGCCACTAAGGGGCAGAACAGCTGCATGAATGTGTTCGTTTTTACTTTCATCTGCAGGAAATGTATTATTATTTTTTTTATCTGCTCACTCAAATTGAAATACACCTTGCACTACTGGTTCCTCTAATGCAGTGGTACTGAATAGGTGGGCTGCGAGCAAGACGGTATCAACTGGGAGCTCAAAAATAGATAGGAAGGGGTTCATGCAGACCTGGGTCCTGAGAGCCCCAGAAAGGACAGTTTGAAACTGGCCCCAGAAGCTACGGGGTTTCTGACATGACGAGAAGAAGAAACAATCTTTTATACAGCGCCTCTCAAGATAAAAATCACGAGGCGCTTCACAAAGACAAAACAAAAATGTAAAAATATAAAAAAGCATTTAGAAAATGTTTCAAAATATATTTAAAATGAGCAAAAATAGGCAATTGGGATTTAAAAGAAAAAATGTTAAAGAGAGAGAGTGAATAGGAAAGAGGGAAATCAGTGGATCCTGAGGAAGGTGGAATAGGTGGGGAGAGCAGAATAAAGAGAGAGTGGTGAAGAAGGTCATACAAAAGCCAGCTTGAACAAGTGAGTCTTCAGCTGCTTTTTAAAGGAGACCACTGAGTCCACTGATCTCAGACTCAGGGGGAGAGAGTTCCAGAGTCTGGGGGCCACAGCAGCAAATGATCTGTCACCTTTGGTCTTTAGCCTGGTGCTGCACAACCAGTAGGCTTTGATCACTGGACCTCAGGGACCTGCTGGGGGTGTAGGGACTAAGAAGATCACCAATGTAAGATGGTGCTTGTCCATGTGAGGCCCTATAGACCAGAACCAGGATCTTGAAATGAACGCTGAAGTTGACTGGCAGCCAGTGAAGCTGGAGGAGAAGCGGGGTGGTGTGGGTGTGTTTGGAGGACTTGGTCAGAAGACGAGCACAGGCGTTCTGAACCACCTGTAGACGGTTCAGGGAGGTTCTGCTCAGACACGTGAAAAGAGAGTTACAGTAGTCTAAGCGTGAGGAGATGAAGGTGTGGATAACTGTCTCAAGTTCAGAGCGGGACAGAATGGGACTCAGCTTAGCAATGTTCCTGAGATGGAAGAAGGAAGAGCGAACAAGAGAACTGACATAAGAATCCAGGGTGAGAGCTGGGTCAAAGGTCACGCCAAGATTCCTGACAGAGGGTTTGGTGTGAAAAGCAAGCTGACCAAGAGAGTCTGACTTAGGGAACCAGCTTGTCTGGAGCACAGATGAGGATCTCTAGTCTTATCTTCATCCAGCTGTAGAAAGCTCCCAGCCATCCAGGTTTGGATACAATCTAAGCAGGTGTGTAACATCTGCAACTTAGACATCTCATGGGGCTTAACCCCCAGAAACCCAAATTTAGAAACCATCTGCAAAATCTTTTTTTAACCTTTCACATGGGCCTATTTACACATTTTAACAGCCAATAGTGTTGCAGAACTGAACAATAGGACCTATTAGCAATTTAAATGTGGTTTTAAAAAGAAAAAAAATGGGGAAGGTTTATTTTTGTAGACTTAAATCTGATGTTGTAATATTACAACCGTGGGTCTTTGGGGGTTAAAGGAGATGTACAGTTGGATGTCATCTGCATAAAGATGGTAGGAGATTCCTTTGATGGAGCTCAGGATGTGCTGAAGAGGGAGCAGATAGAGGAGGAAGAGCAGAGGCCCCAGCACAGAACCTTGTGGGACACCATGGGTAAGAGAGGTAGTGGAGGACCTAAACGTGGAGACGGCCACAGAAAAGGAGCGCTCAGAAAGATAAGAGGAGAACCACTCCAGAGCAGTTCCTGATAGGCCTACCCAGTCTCTCAGCCTCTCCAGTAGCAGGTGATGGTCAACAGTGTCAAAGGCTGCAGTCAGGTCCAGCAGGACCAGAACAGAACAGTCCCCTGCATCACTGTGAGTCAGAAGGTCACTAGAGACCCTAAGAAGAGCTGTTTCACTAGAATGAGCTCTACGAAAACCTGACTGTAAGCTATCATAGATGTTATGTTCATCAAGAGCAGCTGTGAGTTGTTTAGCCACAACCTTTTCCAAGATCTTGGAGATGAACGGAAGTTTAGAGATGGGTCTGAAGCTGCTATGGAGAGAGGGGTCAAGACTCGGTTTTTTAAGAAGCGGGTGGATTACAGCATTCTTAAAGTAAGCAGGAACCTGACCAGAAACCAGAGAAGCATTAATTATAGAGAGCACGCTGGGACCGATGGACTGAAAAGCATTTTTAAACAAAAATGAGGGTAAGATGTCGAGGGGGCATGCAGAGGTCTTCATAGAGTTAACTAGTTTGGTTAACTCAGTCAAAGAAACAGGAGCAAAGCTATCTAGGATGACTGGTCGGGTTGGAGTCGGGAGAGGCAGCGATAAGGCTGAGGGAGAGATGCTAGATCTGACTTTATTGACTTTGTCCACAAAGAAAGACGGAAAGTTTTCACAGGACTTTAATATCGCCAACCATTCCCATTTCATTAAGGTGCATCCATATAAATGGCCCACCCCGTATATCTGCAGGAAAAGTTGTCAGACGAAGTAATCACTTGGATATAGCCTTTTACTCTAGCTTGTAATTAGTTTATGTTCCCTGGTTTTTATTTTTAGTCACTCATGATGAAGGTAAAAAAAAAAGGTTAATCACACTGCACATGGATTTATCTCTAGCACCTGAAAAAAGAACAAAAAAAAACAATAGTCAAGTTTTTTTTTAGGGAGTAACAGATCTGCCCTTACATTAAGCGGGTTCGTCCTTTGTCAGTGCAGTATATTTACCCCAAAAGTTTAAGATGTGAAGCTACACTGGTCTCACAGGCAAGTTGGTTATCACTGTAAAGATAACTAGTTTTTATGGTATCAGTTACTTCCATATTCTTCTAAAGCAGTTTGACATCAAAAGTCTTATATTTTCATGTGAACAGATTTAAAATGGTGTTGCATTGAAATATTTCTATACAGGCACTTACAAGGGCATCTAAGCATTGTCTTTCTGTGTGCTAAAAACTACAGACTGCTGGTGCTGGTAGCAGATGTGATTACCCAGTAATTGGAAAGTTGCAGGGTCCATCCTGGGTCCCATCAGATAATTCAAAATTCAATTCAAAAATACTTTATTAATCCCAGAGGGAAACTGATTAATTAATGCTGGTGTTGAATCCTTGGGCAAGACGCTTAACCCACCTTGCCCTCCATTGGTGGTCAGAGGGATTGTGACGCAGGTGTATTGCCATTTACCATTTATTTATTATAAAGAAAAATCTCTCCAAATATAGCTAATAACAAACATGCTAAACTCTTTCCAAAACCTCTACATGTGAAAGAGCAGAACCCCCAAAAAGACATAACCCAAACTGTGACCAGCATTTCTTCTCTGTACCACTAGAGGGCGCTAGAGTACCATTATAGAGAAGGACTGTTTCAAAGTATTCATTTGGTCTACTCTCGGTTTGAATATTTGTACTATTCCAACTAGATTTAGATGTTGTTTGTATAGGATGGATGGAACGAATCAGAGCCCACACAGTCAAACATTTTGCCTCACGGTTTTTATTCAGCAAAACTAAATATTTTCAAATTTACTGTTAATTGATAATCAAATGAATCATCTTTGCATTACAGTGCTGATCTAAAAGATTTTATCGTTTTATCAATGTTGCTCTATGTTCTATATATCACCTTCAAAATGCTGCAGGTGTATTTGCAGCATGTAGATAAGAATTTAATAAAGGAGAGACTGCATCCTGAAGTAGGAGATCATTTAGTTGCTTTCTTGTATTTGTTTATTTTTATTTATTAATTTATTTATTTTTAGGAATTTTATACTAAAGTAATGAAATAGTTTCAGGTTTATATTGCTCATCCTACATTAGGGGTGTAACGGTACACTAAACTTGTAATCGGTTCAGTGGTTTGAAGAGCTCGGTTCGATGAATTTTCGGTATATTATTATTAGATTTATTTATTTATTTAATATCTGAAGGGGCTCCTATAGTGAGCAGAACCAGGTGTCATCACAGGCTGCTAATCTAGCATGATGTATTTAATTATTTCACAGGTTATTAGCACCACAGACATATATACGTAGATGCCCTGTGGTCTGGCGCTGTCTTTTGGAGATGCCGTAATGGCCGACTGCCATTTTAGATAGATTAGCCCCCAGTGCATTCATTTCAACTGAGCAAGGTGCTCACCCAACTAAAAAACATGTTTTATCAAGCATTTTCACAAAATCAAACACAAGGTACGGCATCATAATTAAAATATAATTAAATAAAAAAAAAGATTAAATATAAAATCTTATCTGGTAGACTAGAAAAGTCACTAGTAATCCCACATGATCTGTTTTCAATAGTACGCTGCTTGTTAGGCTGCACATAAACAGGCATAGTTGCTCACTCTACACTGACTTTGGAGAGTGAGGAGACCCATCTAACATGGCGGCGACACTGGTACACTCTCCAGCACCCAATGGGGCGTCTACGTATTTATGTCTATGATTTGCACAGCTCATTCTCATACAGACGAGTGTTGTGTTAGACATGTTTTTATTTCTTAAAAACTCGCCTCACACCTCCCAGAGTTTCTTCTTTAAAACTCGTATTAAATAACGAGCGTCCTCTGCGCCAGATTTTTCATTGTAAGATGAAATCTGTACATTAGTTGTCACAGCGGAAAAGTTCAGCAGACATGTTTGTTTACATGTTTGCCTCTGCGTGTCTGCACACTGTGAGAGAAGGGAGGGAAAGGCGACACAACGCTCCGTTCAGAGTCTCTACACAGACTCCACAGTAGCAGCGACAGTCAACTGGTCTGATCCGCTCTGAAAGACATTGATAAGAATTTGCAGATCACATTTTAAAAACGGAGACCGGGCACGTGCAGCCACCATGCGTCACTCAATACAGGGTCCGTGCGGAAACTCGCCTAGGAACTTTTATCTGCTGCACTTAAATCATGCAAATGTGTGAAAAATTCATTATTTAACATAAAAAATAAACCGAAACGCTACGCAAGAGGACCGAACTGAACTGCCCGAACCGAAGCGGTTCGAATAACCCCCATGAACCGTTACACCCCTACCCTACATGCATGTTTGACCTCGTTTACAGGCGGAGAGGGAGAACCCTGGTCTCACACAGGACATCATAATGAAGATCTTGGAGAAAAAGAACGTTCAGATCAACTTCACTGAATCTCTGCTGCGCATGGCGGCGGATGATGTTGAAGGTAAGTTAAGGAAACGATGTTTTGGGTTTTCTCGCCCTAATTTCATGTTTGTTTTTTTGAGCGTGTTGATAAATGTGTCTGTGGGAATGTTCTCCTGCAGAGTTCATGATCGACAGGCCTGAGCAGGAGTTCCAGGACGTAAATGAGAAGGCCAGAGCACTGAAACACATCCTTAGCAAAATCCCAGATGAGATCAATGACAGAGTACGCTTTCTACAAACTATCAAGTGAGTGTCTGCAACTTAACACACGGGTTTTTAAACCATCTAGAGCAGGGGTGTCAAACTCATTTTAGCTCAGGGGCCACATTGAGGGAAATCTAGTCCCAAGTGGGCCGGACCGGTAAATTAAAAAATACTTCAGATTGTTTTCTTTGTTTTAATACAATCAATATAAAACAAGGCTGGAGCCTGAGGACAGTGTAGTACAAGTACAACACCTGAAGTGTACTTGAAAATTTGAAAAAAATTTAAAAATCAACAAATAAAAACATTCCTTAGTGATCCAAAGAGCTTACAGATCACATGGCAAGATCAGTTTCATGCAGCACTTAAAGTATATTTGACTCATTTTACTTTACATCTTTTAGCTTTCACCAGCACATCAATATCAGAAGTCACATCACGAGTGGCAGCCAACTTCAGGATGTGACTCAAGTTCTTGTGTGGGCCTTGAGCGCAGCTTTGTTTTATTTATACTCATTACAGAGAAAACTTGCTCACAAAGATAAGTTTATTTTAACTCTACATTGTAAAGTATGAAAATAAAGTTTACACATCCGGCCCGCGGGCCGCATATTTGACACCCCTGATCTAGAGCAAGAGTATTCAATGCCGGGCATAGAGGCTCCATAGGTGCTTCGTCCACTAAATCAAGTATGTTTGAGCAGAGAAACCACAAAAACATGCTGGATACCGGCCTTCCAGGCCCAGAATTGAATACCCTGATCTAGAGACAAGTTACCTTAAATATCTTGTGGATCAGAGAAATCAGTTCTGAGGTTCTTCCCAAGTCGATATCAGAACACTTTTAATGATTGTTATGTAAACATAGAGCCTCGTGTTTCATTCTGAGTAGTTGGTTTGAAGTTCTGTTTCTTATCCAAGTTGCATTCTGTTCACAGAGACATAGCAAGCGCCATAAAAGACCTCCTGGACTCGGTCAATGCTGCCATTAAGAGACACCAGTACCAGACTCGCAGAGTGAGTAGTGGAGCATGTCTGTTAATGTTTAAAATCTTATCTTTGCTTCTGCTAATCATTCCTTACTTTTAATGCTCATAAAGCCCCTGGAGCACCAGAAAAAGGAGTTTGTGAAGTACTCGAAAAGCTTCAGTGACACCCTCAAAACATACTTCAAAGACGGAAAGTAAGTGTGACCCCTGATGGTATGGAAGAGAACAGGAGAAGATTTGTGTTTATTGTGTAAAACACACATTACCTGGCTTTAGACCCTCGAGTCAGTCCAGTTTATGCTGCTAAGTTGAGCTTTCTTGTTCAGAAAAGGAAATCTAGTGAATTAGCTAATTAATGTCTGATGACTGATTTTATTTTTAGTGAACTTTTAGTGAACTTCCCCCAAAACACACACCAGAGCAAAAAATAAAAAGAATTGCATCAGCACAGCTAAAGTTATTCAAAAACACAACTGCCTGCACAGAAAAATGCACGAGGGACCTCTAAGGGTCAAATTTACAGTCAGGTCCATAAAAATTGGGACATCAACACAGTGCTAACTTTTTTTGGCTCTATACACCACCACAATGGATATCAAATGAATCGTCAAGATGTGATTTAACTGCAGACTGTCGGCTTTTATTTGAGGGTATTTACATCCAAATCAGGTGAACGGTGTAGGGATTACAACATTTTGCATATGTGCCTCCTACTTGTTCAGGGACCAAAAGTAATGGGACAATTGGCTTCTCAGCTGTTCCATGGCCAGGTGTGTGTTATTCCCTCATTCTCCCAATTACACGGAGCAGATAAAAGGTCCAGAGTTCATTTCAAGTGTGCTATTTGCATTTGGAATCTGTTGCTGTCACCTGTCAAGATGAGATCCAAAGAGCTGTCACTATCAGAGAAGCAAGCCATCATTAGGCTGAAAAAACAAAAGAAACCTATCAGAGAGATAGCAAAAACATTAGGCGTGGTCAAAACAACAGTTTGGAACATTCTCAAAAAGAAGGAACGCGCCGGTGAGCTCAGCAACACCAAAAGACCCGGAAGACCAGGGAAAACAACTGTGGTGAATGACCAAAGAATCCTTTCCCTGGTGAAGAAAACACCCTTCACAACAGTTGGCCAGATCACGAACACTCTCCAGGAGGTCGGTGTATCTGTGTCAAAGTCAACAATCAAGAGAAGACTCCACCAGTGTGAGGGTTCACCACAAGATCTAAACCATTGGTGAGCCCCAAAAACAGGAAGGCCAGATTAGAGTTTGCCAAACAACATGTAATAAAGCCTTCACAGTTCTGGAACAACATCTTATGGACAGATGAGACCAAGATCCACTTGTACCAGAGTGATGGGAAGAGAAGAGTATGGAGACAGAAAGGAACTGCTCATGATCCTAAGCATACCACCTCATCAGTGAAGCATGGTGCTGGAAGTGTCATGGCGTGGGCATGTATGGCTGCCAGTGGAACTGGTTCTCTTGTATTTATTGATGATGTGACTGCTGACAAAAGCAGCACGATGAATTCTGAAGTGTTTCGGGCAATATTATCTGCTCATGTTCAGCCAAATGCCTCAGAACTCATTGGATGGCGCTTCACAGTGCAGATGGACAATGACCCAAAGCATACTGCAAAAGCAACCAAAGAGTTTTTGAAGGGAAAGAAGTGGACTGTTTTGCAATGGCCGAGTCAGTCACCGGACCTGAATCCGATTGGGCATTCATTGCACTTGCTGAAGACAAAACTGAAGGGAAAAGGCCCCAGGAACAAGCAGGAACTGAAGACTGTTGCAGTAGAGGCCTGGCAGAGCATCACCAGGGATGAAACCCAACGTCTGGTGATGTCTATGTCTTCCAGACTTCAGGCTGTAACCAGTGTTGGGCAAGTTACTTCAAAACGGTAATGCATTATTTACTACTTGTTACCCTCATTTTAAAGTAATTCATTACATTACAGTATTACTGATTTGAAAATGTAAGGCATTACACTACTTTTGCATTACTTTAAGCTACTTTCAGCAAAACAACTTCAATATGAATCTGGTAATCTGACGCTCAGTGAGCTCATGACATATATGTGGAAAGTGATGTGGTGTCTGAGCTAGGATTGCTGTTAAAAACAGTCAGATATAATAACAGTGCTTTAAAATGATTGTTTATTAATTAAAAGCAACAACAATCTGTACTCTCAGCATGCTGCCATCTTATAGTAACTGAGCAGGGAGTGAGGTTCAAAATTCAATTCAATTCAAAAATACTTTATTAATCCCAGAGGGAAATTGATTGCTGTAGTAGCTCAGGATAATAATAATAATCAAGTCGTCAAAGAGTTATTGTATATTACAATGGCTGTTGGCAGGAAGGATCTCCAGTAGCGGTCAGTGTTGCATAGGGATGGGTACCTTTGACATTTGAATCGATCCGGTACTAATTACCGGTACCTAGGAATCGATACCGGTACTTAACGGTACCAATTTTCGATACTTTTGAGTGTTTATTATTTTAATTCTCTTTTATAATTAAATATATATTTTTCTCAATATATAACAATATTTGATAAATATCACGATAACATACAACTGTTTGTATTTTAACATTGTCCTTGTAGTTTTATAAGCCCATAATTAAACTGAAGCAAACATCTTTACTGTGAACTAAATTTACTGTGTATCTTCATTCCTTTTGCCATCTTTTTTCATTTGATTTTTCCTACTGGGAAGTTAGAATTTCCGAGGAGAAAGCGAACGCACCATTAGCTGATAACAATGGTGGCAATGGAAGCTAACATATCAAGCTAACGATATCTTAAACAGTTTATTTAGCTGCTGGAGCAGATTTAAACGATGCCTCACACTTAGATCGTCACTGGTTTCGTCTTCACCCGTCACATTTAGTAAAGTGAAGCCAAACTTTAGAGCGCGTTCATGTTGTTCTAGTCGGAAATTCGGAGTTCCGAGGAGAAAGCGAACGCACCATTAGCGAAACGGAAGCTAATATATCAAGCTAATTATATTTACCTACCGGAGCAGATTAAGATGAGGATGTCTCATTTAGATAGTTGTCGCTGGTTTCATCATCCAGTTACCCATCACATTTAGTGAAGTGGACCCAAGCTTTAGCCTGCGTTCTCTCTACCATGCTGCTCTGTTTACAACTGGTTCACAGCAAGCGACGACAAAACGCTCCTGCGCATGCGCAGCTGTCTTGGCAAGTTCTCGTTAGGATGGACGGGTACCGAAATGAGGCACCGTTTGAAATGACGTGAATCGGTGCTCGGTCGGTACTATGGAATTCGGTCGGTACCTTAAAAAGTACCGAATTCGGTACCCATCCCTAGTGTTTCAGCGAAACTGAAGAAGCCTCTGACTGAAGACACTCTTCCGTTGTCGGACAGTCTTGTGAAGAGAATGCTCAGGGTTGTCCATCATTTTCTTGATTCTCTGGAGAATCCTTCTTTGCATGATCTCCTCCAGTGGTTCCACAGTCGTCCCCAGAACAGAACCAGCCTTCTTTATTAGGCTGTTGAGCCTTTTCAGGTCCCTGCTGAAATGGGGTGATGACAGGTGATGGGGGCTCCAAGCCTATATTTGACTTGGTCCCCAAATGCCTTGATAGGGCCCTGGATGTGGGACTGACTTCTATCACATGAATAAATATTAAATGCTTATATATTATTGCTTGTCACTAGTAAAACTGTGTATTGGGTATAAATCTACCTAATTTTTTTCTTTTTTTTTCTTGATTTTATTTGAATAATTTTCTGCCCTTTCTCTCTCTAACCTTCCTGCATGCTGCATGTTTTCTCCGTCTTCCAGAAAATCTGTTTCCTAGATTTCCTACTTTCTAGCTAATCAGCCAAAGGGATCTACCAAACGCAAAAATAAATAAATAAATAAATAAATAAACAAATAAACGCTTAATATGCGCTGCGCTCCAGCAGCAATGAGTTGAAATCACCGGGGCACAGATTATGAACTCAGCTGAAAAGTACATGAAGTACGAGAGAGTATGGGCTTATATAAACGATCACAAACAAATTTGTTTTGGTGGAGTGATTTTGTGAATATAACAGCGGCCGCGTGCAGCACGCTGCTGGAGTATTTGAGCCATTACCGCTGCGTCCTCTCTGCTCATAGAATGCCCACAAAGCTGAGTCCATAAATGACGTCATATATGACGTGGATACTGGATCTTTTTTCAGGCTTCCCGCTATTTGAATTTTTAGGAAACCCACATCTTGATTCTGCGTTTAAAAATGCCTTGTAATTAATTACTGCGTTACTGACAAATACCGAGTAGATATTACCATTTTCTTTCCCTGTAATGCCTTACATTACCACATTACAGCAAAAAGCAATGCGTTACAGTAATTAATTACTTTTGTACCACGTTACTCCCAACACTGGCTGTAATTGACTGCAAAGGACTTGCAACCAAGTATTGAAATGTATAAGTTTGATTTACGGTTCTTATTCTGTCCCATTACTTTTGGTTCCTTAACAAGTGGGGGGCACATATGCAAACTGTTGTAATTCCTACACCGTTCACCTGATTTGGATGTAAATACCCTCAAATAAAAGCTGACAGTCTGCAGTTAAAGCTCATCTTGTTTGTTTGATTTGATATCCATTGTGGTGGTGTATAGAGCCAAAAATGTTAGCATTGTGTCGTTGACCCTGACTGTAGAAATTCAAAGTGAGTTTAAAGTAACTGAACTGTGTGCTAGATGTGTTCTTAGATTATTTTGTGCATCAAACTAATTTTTTGTTTTATTTCTGTGGACCTATTTCTGTTGACAATCATGTAGCAATGACAGCTTTCTTTGATATTCAATATGTTCCAGTTTAGAAATGTGTAAGGGAGCAAGAGTGCTAGAACAGCTCCACCCAGGTGGATGTAAAGCCCCCTTCAGACAGGCCATGAAAAACGGAAATGTTCCGGAATCTGTCCGTAAGACCTTTCTGTCTGAATACAAACATCCTTTATCCGGACGAAGCCCCTAGTAACAGGTCCGGACTTGTTATGGACAGGTTGGCTGCTTCAGACTGGTGAGGTAAAGTTCCGGACAAGGGGGAGGGGACCGGGGGACGCTGTGCGCACCTAGATAGCCCGCTGCTGTAGCATGCTGCGAACCACGGCAGCTCGCCTCCTACGGTACCGTCTAGACGAGCGGCGGAGCGCTTCACACCGCTTCAGTGCTTCCTTTAACCATTGAGCTTCATCATCCAGGTCTCTTATGCATCTTCGTGTGCACAGAATTATGCTTAAGCACCTCGTGATTTTTATCTTGAGAGGCGCTATAGAAATTATATTTTCTTCTTCTTCTTCTTCTTAACATGAGTCCGATTCCCCCCCCACCCACCCCACCCCCCGCCGCCGTCAGACATCTGGAACTTTTCCCTGCTGTGTGAACGCAGCCGAAAGGACAAGTTCCGGTACAAAAGTGGTGTGTCTGAAAACACAGTTCCGATTAAAAACCGGATTGAATTGTCCGCAAAAGTTCCAGAATGTCAGTCTGAAAAGGGCTTTAGAGTAGGCTGGTCTGCCTTTGAGTGACTTGGAGCATAAACGACTTGGTAACATATTACCCAGGTGTTGAAATGTGATCCCCTGTCAACTTTCCTAACGTAACATTTCGTTGTGTGTTTGTTTGCAGGGCAATAAATGTCTTCATCAGTGCAAACCGGCTCATCCACCAAACCAACCTCATACTGCAGACCTTCAAAACAGTGGCCTAGCCCGCGCAGTCCACTACCCCCCTCCCCCAGCTTGTGGGGAGCGTGTGCTAAAGCAGCAGAAACCTTAAGAGCGCTTCACCCATTTATGTAAATTAGAGTTGATTTTAGGGTCGGGGTTGATTTCATTGGAGTCTAGATTCCAGTTCAATAGACTGAAAAGTGCCATTTGTTTTCTCAATGAGGATTTTCCAGTCTTGAAATGGAACTGAATGGGCCCAAAGTCTTGGTTAAATTGATTTTATTTGGAAAGTTTTAATTTATAACCCTGGTCTTGTTGGGAGGTGGTGAGGTGAGGTGTTTATCAAAGACTAATTGCCATTTTTCTAATATATTCATGTTGATCATTTTACTTTTAGCCTTTCAGTCACATCTGAGACCCTGTTCAATAGGAACGAGTCTTCGTCTTCTGTACTGGTTTCCTCTTCTCGCCTCGTGTTTTTTTTTTGTGTGTGTCATTTTGCCACCGTGTGTTTACGCAGGATTGGCAAGAAAAATCAACAAAAATGAAAAAAAAAAACACCTGGTTGCAGGTGAAATGTTGCAAGGAGAAGAAACTGTGTTGGACATTTGAGAGGCAGACTGGGATTTTGTTTCTCGCAATTATCAGAAGACAGAACGCCAAATTGCTTCCAGCACTGTGTGCGCCTTACAAAGTCCGGTAACATTCCCTCCTCTCCGAGTGTAATGAAGTGGAACCAGTCCATGCTGTTAGGGGATGTAGAGAGTTAAGATTCTTCTGTATTTAACTGATATCTGGTTGCAAATGTTCAATAAATAGTTTCCAAATGAAGCCTTTATTAACTTTTGTGATGATTAGAAAAACTCTTAGATTAATGTAATGTAGCAATGGAGAAATCATCATTGACTTTAAATGCATTTCTACAACATAAAAAACGAGCCACTAATGTTATTTAAGCAATATCACGCTCGAGTTCGTGCATTGTTGCAGATTATCAGCACTGGTGAGATTCGGTCGTAGATGATCACACCTGTACAGAGGCAGTCATCTTCTTGTTCTGTGCAGTGTTGCTGTAGCTTTTGCAAAATGGTCAGCATCTCACCACAGGTCAGACTTTAGTTGCTGGAGTCTGCTAGTGTGGAGGTGTGTATATAAGGTAAATGACGCTAACATGATAGGCAGTGTTAGTTTATTAGTTACCTGCAATTTTAACAGGAGAGGACGTGCAAACGTCACCGCAGCTGCTGCATTGAAATTCACCAGTCCAGAGGGGGTCAAAAACATGACAGTCACTTGAAGTTATTGTGTCATTTGTACGTAAATGCTTTTGCAGATTTGTGTTTCTTCCCTTTGATGAAACATCTACTTTGCAAGTATTGCAAGTTGCCCTGTTGTCATCCTTTTTCATCAAGTACAGTGGGGCAAAAAAGTATTTAGTCAGCCACCGATTGTGCAAGTTCTCCCACTTAAAATGATGACAGAGGTCAGTAATTTTCATCATAGGTACACTTCAACTGTGAGAGACAGAATGGTGATGTCGTTCCCGCCGACTGGATTCGATAAGGGAATTGTTTGCAAAAATGCGAACAGTTCTAGGAATTGAACCAGTGGGAACCAGTTCTGAACAAGAAGGTAAAACAATATCTAATCACTATTGTGTTAAATAAAAAAAGAAGATGATTATCAACAATAAGCAGTTTCCCCTGGACATTAGTACACATTCATTCAAGCAGTTTGGAAGCTCCCATGATAGGTGGACTGTTGTCTCTCTAAAACCAGCTTCTTGTAAAGAGTTTTAACACAAACTGAATCTGTTCTGTTAATTCATTGTTCTGTTCCATGGGTCCCCAGTCCATTCTTTTTTGCCCATGCTCAAGTTTCAGGTCCATTCCCAGTGTACGGGTCCTTGAACAAGTACTTGGGATTGTTCTCTTAGCTGCTAACACCCACCAGTATTTTTATGACACAGAATGTGTGCTCTTTAACAATCTTACATTTGTTCCAGTGGAAATTTAAGTGCATCATAAGAATTATTTCAGATTTTAGCATGATTTGTGTTGTTATTTTTATTCTGTTTGATTAGAATATGAAGACCATAGAGAGAAGAAAAATAATAAAAGTACATGCATGTACACATAGGCAGTAGGCCATTATTGTAACATTTTACCACAAAAAACCACAAATAAAAATGAAACTTGGGTTCCAGAACTATGCAGCATACTGCAAGGGACACAGACACGTAAATCTGTTGTAGGTGAAATCCGAGGTGAAGAAAGGGGAATAGAAAGAGTGAGAGCACCAGTATTACAAACAACTACCTCAGAAATGCAGTTACGCAACCTCGTGTACTGTGGCCTGTTGGTGAGGTAGTTGTTCACTCCTTCACCCCCTTATCTTCTGCTGCAGTAAAGATGGCTGGATGATGTTGAAAGCACTTGAGAGTCGAAAAACATGATTCTCACAGTGCTGTTTTGCAACTCGAGGTGAGTTAACACCTGGTGCTGCAGGTAGATGATGACCTTTTCCACCCCCCAAGTTTGGTTTGTATGCAGACTGCAGAGGGTCCATCTCTGGGCTTACCACGGAGCTTAGGTGTGTGAGGATGAGTCTCTCTATGGTCTTCATCAGGTGAGAGGTCAAGGTGATCTGGTTTCCTGGGATGTGATGTCTTGGAAACTCACACAGGAGGTCTTCCACAGGATGGGGACCTGCTCGAAGGTCACGTTGAACATGTTGCGTGACGACTTCACAAAGCTGATCTTGTCAGATTCTGCAGCTTTCCTGCTCTTAAGCCGCCTCAGTTTTCTCCAGTGATGTGTAAGTGAGAGGAGGGAGTGGGGGAAGGGGAGGGGTAATTGCGAGGGTAGAAGTTGTGGAGTGGTGTGAGTTTAGGGGGAGACTAGCTGAGGTTGTTATGGTGTTTGGGGGGTGGTGGTGGTGGTGCCTGTTACAGATCAAATCACTTTATTTAAATAGCACATTTAAAAGTGCTGTACAATAAATTAAAGCTAAAACAACAAAACATAGAATTTATAAAATAGATTATGCAATAAGAGTCAAAAAAATTAAAGGGATAAAACCACTTACTATTTAAATAAAAACATTTTTAAACCAGTCAGATTTACATAAACAAAAGCATCCAGCAAGATAGAATACAAAATTAAAATGGTTAAAAACAGATTTAGATCACCCAAATGCTGAAAAACATAAACGAGTTTTCAAATTAGACTTAAAAATAGCTGTGAGGTGGAATCTTTGACCTAGAAAGGAAGACTGTTCCAGAGCTTTGGTACTGCAAATCCCCCTTTCTGACAAGTCTGGATGATGGAACAGTTAAAAGTAATTGATTAGCAGATCTAAGACACTGTCCATTATTATAGGGGGAAAGGAGTTCTGTAATGTAAAAGGGAGCCAAGCCATTCAGAGCTTTTAAAACATATAAAATAAATAAAAATTCAACACGAAATTTAACTAGGAGCCAGTACAGAGACTTAATTATTGATACTTTCTCTTTTCTTTGTACCTGTTATCAGTCTAGCTGCAGCGTTGTGCACCAGCTGTAGATCAGAGCACACTGAGACAATCCAAAATACAGGGAGTTGCAATAATTGAGCCTGTAGTGACAGTTTTCAGGTCATGGAGAGAAAGGAATGGCTTAATTTTGGATACTGTCTTTAATTGAAAAAAAAATTAAGATTTGACTACTGAGTTAATTTGTGTATCAAAAGCTAGATTTGAGTCAAAAATTACCCCGAGGTTCGGTATGCTCATGAACATGTACAGACAGCGTTCCGAGGTTGCTGGCCAACTGTCAAGGGATTGTTGTTGAACCAAAAAAATAACCTCAGTCCTATTATCATTTAACAGAAGATAATTGTTTGCCATCCAGCATTTAATTTGTAACATCCACAATTGATCAGTTTTTCATGTACAGTTTGACCTCTTCAGTATCTGGTCATATGGAGACAGGAGTCTACATTTGTTGCCTTTAATCTGCCGGATCCTGCCATTCCATCGGCTGAAGTCCGGGCCTTTCTGCAGCTCTGACCACATGATAACGTATTGTCAACATCACGTTCCCTTCTCAAGGTTCCTTTCTGCCAAGCCTGTCTGCTTATCTACAGGGAGTGCAGAATTATTAGGCAAGTTGTATTTTTGAGGAATAATTTTATTATTGAACAACAACCATGTTCTCAATGAACCCAAACAACTCATTAATATCAAAGCTGAATGTTTTTGAAGTAGTTTTTAGTTTGTTTTTAGTTTTAGCTATTTTAGGGGGATATCTGCGTGTGCAGGTGACTATTACTGTGCATAATTATTAGGCGACTTAACAAAAAACAAATATATACCCATTACAATTATTTTATTTTTACCAGTGAAACCAATATAACATCTCCACATTCCCAAATATACATTTCTGACATTCAAAAACAATCCAAAAACAAATCAGCGACCAATATAGCCACCTTTCTTTGCAAGGACACTCAAAAGCCTGCCATCCATGGATTCTGTCAGTGTTTTGATCTGTTCACCATCAACATTGCATGCAGCAGCAACCACAGCCTCCCAGACACTGTTCAGAGAGGTGTACTGTTTTCCCTCCTTGTAAATCTCACATTTGATGATGGACCACAGGTTCTCAATAGGGATCAGATCAGGTGAACAAGGAGGCCATGTCATTAGTTTTTCTTCTTTTATACCCTTTCTTGCCAGCCACGCTGTGGAGTACTTGGACGCATGTGATGGAGCATTGTCCTGCATGAAAATCATGTTTATCTTGAAGGATGCAGACTTCTTCCTGTACCACTTCTTGAAGAAGGTGTCTTCTAGAAACTGGCAGTAGGACTGGGAGTTGAGCTTGACTCCATCCTCAACCCGAAAAGGCCCCACAAGCTCATCTTTGATGATACCAGCCCAAACCAGTACTCCACCTCCACCTTGCTGGCGTCTGAGTCGGACTGGAGCTCTCTGCCCTTTACCAATCCAGCCACGGGCCCATCCATCTGGCCCATCAAGACTCACTCTCATTTCATCAGTCCATAAAACCTTAGAAAAATCAGTCTTGAGAAATTTCTTGGCCCAGTCTTGACGTTTCAGCTTGTGTGTCTTGTTCAGTGGTGGTCGTCTTTCAGCCTTTCTTACCATGGCCATGTCTCTGAGTATTGCACACCTTGTGCTTTTGGGCACTCTAGTGATGTTGCAGCTCTGAATTATGGCCAAACTGGTGGCAAGTGGCATCTTGGCAGCTGCACGCTTGACTTTTCTCAGTTCATGGGCAGTTATTTTGCGCCTTGGTTTGTCCACACGCTTCTTGCAACCCTGTTGACTATTTTGAATGAAACGCTTGATTGTTCAATGATCACGCTTCAGAAGCTTTGCAATTTTAAGACTGCTGCATCCCTCTGCAAGATATCTCACTATTTTTGACTTTTCTGAGCCTGTCAAGTCCTTCTTTTGACCCATTTTGCCAAAGGAAAGGAAGTTGCCTAATAATTATGCACACCTGATTTAGGGTGTTGATGTCATTAGACCACGCCCCTTGTCATTACAGAGATGCACATCACCTAATATGCTTAATTGGTAGTAGGCTTTCGAGCCTATACTGCTTGGAGTAAGACAACATGCATGAAGAGGATGATGTGGACAAATTACTCATTTGCCTAATAATTCTGCACTCCCTGTAGGCTGTCTTGCACAGAATGAAGGAGTAAACCGTTATAATAGTAAATAATCATATAGTCGAATGAAGAATAATGGTTGATGAATAATAATAATGTTTTGATTAATCTGTGCTTGAATTACTGAAGTTGAAATGAATGTTATTTTGA